ACATCCAAGTTCCTCTCTCTGCCTTGCCCTTACTCTCCTGTCTTCAGTACAGGGACTGCAGGTGCGCTATCTTTTCAGTATTTGGGGACTGTTAACCAGTGGTCATTTACTATTTCCATTTTTTTCCTCTGATAAATTACCAATGAATGAAACTTTACACCGGTATCTTTCTCTCAATAGAGTGTCTCCGGCTTAAGACTAACTGACACGTTCTTAAAGAGAACATATGAATATGATGACATCGCACAGGTCTGTGTGGTATCTTCGGCCATCAAAGTGGAGAGCTGAAGAAAATTTCCAGTGTTCTGCTTTTCATTGAGTTTAACAGAACTTTCTGTATCTCTGTCACCTTTGTGAAATGATCGAGTCTACAACAAAAATAAGTATCTATTATTTAAATTTCTTTCCTGCAAAAGTTAAAATATTAAATATTTGTTTTGAAAACAGCCATCTACTGATTTTATCTTATGAGTTATATTCTAAAAGAATATTTGTACATTTTCTATACATCTCCTATTGGATTTCATTTCTCACCACTGGACTTTGTTCTCCAAAAGCTCTGTATTTGAGGCCATTTACCCCTAGCAAGTATCTGGAACAGGGGTTAGCAAGCATTTTATGTAAAGGGACAGATACTAAATATTTGTCTTTGCAGGGAATGTGGTTTCTGTTGAAAATTCTTAGCTCTGCTGTTACAGTAGGAGAGCAGCCAGTAGGCAAAAAGAGCACAGCAGTATTTACAAAAACAGGCAACTGGCCAGATTTGGCCCGCAGGCCATAGTTTGCTGACCTTGACTTAGAATATAGAACTGTTTCTTAAAACTTTAGATTATTATAATACTCTATTTAAAACTTTTCAATTAGTCCATTTTTCCCCTAACTCCTCAGTCAGCAGAAAAAGTTGAAAACTATAGTAAAAATAATAAGTAAATAAAACAACTAGAGTAGTCCCTGTGTAACCTTATATTGCAAACACAGTATGAGTTCTCCTAGTGTTTTCAAAGTTACTATATTTGTATGTATCTGTTTGTATGTACATATAAACAGATCTAAATTTCAGTTACTAACAGCAGATCAGAATTGGCTTAATTTCTTGGATTGTTGATTACTCTATTAACTTTTAACTAAGAAACCTGATAATTTTCTAACTCAAAGCCAGAAAGTCCTGGGTTTTTTTTTCATATTGAAAAACAAGTGACTTATTTTCATAAGGCATATTGAAAGGATTTCTACCTTCTGATATTTGGTTTTGAACTCTAAGTCATGCATTACTACTACAAAACTATCTGTAGATGTAATCACACTGATTTACTTATGTCAGGAACAAAACAGTGAGAAAGTTAATATTGTAAACAACTTTGAGGGGCTCCTGAGCGGCCCAGTCGGTTAAGTGTCCAACTTCAGCTCAGATCATGATCTCGAGGTCTGTGAGTTCAAGTCCCATGTGCGGCTCTGTGCTGACAGCTCAGAGCCTGGAGCCTGCTTTGGATTCTGTGTCTTCTTCTCTGTCTGCCCCTCTCCCACTTTTGCTCTATCTCTCAAAAATAAATAAAAACATTTTTTAAAAAAAGATTGTAAACAACTTTGCAACATGAATATAGTAAGTTTCAATATTTTGTAAGGACAACAAAAGCTTATGCTGTTAAATAAAAACTTATTTTGGTAAGTTGAAATTCAAGAATGTATATAGAATCGCTTAACTGTTAGAGGTATTAAGTCAAATACAAAAATTTGTTTTTCTTAAATGCATAATTATTTATTGCCATGACAAATTATTTGGTCCAAAGTGAAAGCTATATTCAGAATGAGATTTGCCCCTTAAGTTGCACTAATAATGAAATCTGTGCAAAATAAAGTAAAAGCAGTGTAAAGTTGAAGTCTGTCTTCCAGAATGAGTAAGACTGATTAAATGATAAGTCTTGATAGTCACTGTGTATTTTGATTGCTTTTCAAGTATGCTCTCATGACTGAACCTTGTGTTTCATTGTTCCAGATTTTAAAAGTAACATATAATGGTCTTTTGGAATCTGCTATATAATTTGATCTAATTATAAACTCTCTTTTTATGATAAACATCGTCCATTCCTTAAGTAAAGGTTAGATAACGTCATCTTGGAAGGGATCTGTTTAAATCATATTATAAAAATTAGGTAAACAATTTGGTATATTAAATGAAAATGTCATTTGCATAAAAAGGACCTTTTAGGTTTTACATAGCATCATAACTGCTATAGCTACAACAATGAAATGTGGTTAATGGAAGCCAGTCATTCCTAAGGGGAATGTATATAAAGATTCAATGTTTTCTTGTTCCACACCAGCCAGTATAGTATCTGGGGCATTCCTTATAATTTCTTAGCACAGTCCAATGACACAAAACTTTCTTGAAATAATTTGCAATGCAATGATTCCAAAGTGATGAAGGGATCTAGAGAGCAAAAATCCAGGTAAGTGGACAGATACTTACAGTGAATTTGTTATAGGTGGTATAACAGCCAAGAAACAGATCAGAAAGTTGAAATGGAAGAAATACACCAGCTCTTCATGTAAAAGAATGGCTGTCCCAGCTAAAGATATTAGCAAATCAAGACATTGTTTTAAAATGGTTTTCCTTATAATGCCTTGGTCTGATTTTGGTATCAGAGTAATAGTAATAGCTAAATAAAATGAGTCAGAAGGGTTTTCTCTTTTTCTGTTTTCTGATAGTGTAGAATTGATAGTATTGCTTCCATTAAGTGTTTGGCAAAATTTACCATTGGAATCATCTGGGCCTATAGCTTGCTCTGCTGGGGGATTTATCTATTTCCTTACTGAGCTTTGGTAGCTTTTATCTTACAGGGAATTTGTGTGTTTAATGTAAGTTGTCCAATATATAGGCCTAGAGTTGGTCACTGTATTTTCTGATTACCCTTTAAAGTCTGGAGGGCTGCAGTGATATTCCCTCTTTCACTTTTGGTACTGTTGATTTGCATTTTCTCGATTTTCATAGTCAACTAAAGGCTTACCAGTTTTACTGATCTAAAAGCATTTTAATATATTCAAGATAGTTTTGCTAGAAACTTTCTCTTACCACTGGATAAGAGTAGCTATTTTTAATTAAGTAAGCTCTATACCCAACGTGGGGCTTGAACTCATGATCCTGAGATCAAGAGTCACATGCTGTAGGGACTCAGCCAGCCAAGTACCCCAAGAGTAGCTAATTTTTAATTGTGGATCAGGTTTCACTTTTGTTTTCAGCACAGTCCTTTCATGTGAATAGTTAGTACTTCATTCTGTATTATGCTTGAACACTAGGAGTTGAATTTAACCTCATGAACAATAAAGTTGGTTTAAATGGAATACAGGATATTGAATTCAGAGGGCCTAAAATTTAAGTCCTGCTCTTCTCTGGCCAGACTGTAGATTCCTATGGGTTTTCCCTGTAAGCTGAGCACAGGCAGTGAGGTATTTGCTGGTCTGAGGAGAAATCTCTAACTTACCGTTACTCTAAATTAGAGTCCTTAGACCTACATCAGAACCGTGTAGGATGCTGTTTAAAATGGTGATTCCTAGGCATTACTATAGGACCTGTTAAATAAAAATGGAAAGTGTGGCTCTGGATCTGCATTTTTAATTCTTACAGTGAAATTACAGAACCACTGTTCTAATCTCACAAGAGGAAGAAAGGAAGAGTTGATTTTTAACCTTGTAGATACCACATTATTAGTCTTTTGAGGAGAACAGTTATAGTAAGGCCTTCATCATCATGAGTATTACTGAGTTAATTTTATATTACTTAATTTTTCAGTTTTCTCTCACAACACTTGTGAAATGATTATGTGTTCACCCAACTTTACCAATTTCATAATTAACAAAAATTCTAGTTAAAATGGTCTCTCATCACTGTAGAGTCATGCCATTAATACTTAATGCCATATCTCTTCATTAACTACTATGATCTGATGTCCATAAAATATTTTAAGTCCCCTGTTATGTTTACATTGCATCAAATTAAGATGAAGCATAAAAGCAACATGCCAAGCCAAATTATAGCAAAGGTTTTTATGAACAAGCAATGTTAGTGATAGAAGCTTTTTATAAGCCATCAAATAATTAGTTTTAAAAAATCAGTATTTATAGGCACATAATTAAATGCCACTTAGAAAATCCTTAACTTGAGAATCAAACCACTGGCTTATTTAAATGTAAATATATTTAAGAGTTTCCATGGTAAGGTCACCATTGGGGAAATTGTGCTAGTTAAATTGAATAGTTATACAATGGACCTAACCAGTACCATTAAGGATTTCTAAATGTATTTGATTATGTACTTAGAGTAATTGGCCATGCTAACGTTATCAAGATCAAACTGCAGGCAAGATTGGTTAAGAACTATGCAAACAACCTGAACATCCTACTTTCACCTTCTGTACATTCACAGCATCTATTTTTCATTTCAAAACAGCCCTTGAACCAAATGCTGCTTCTCACCAGCTCTTAGTATTCCTTGTTCCGCATCAGATCAAGCAGCATTAAGGACAGTACTGGCCCCTGTGATAGATATTCAGTACTGATAGCACTATCAGAGCTAAAGCTAGGCAACAAATTTCTTCTCTCCAAACATGCTGTTCCATGGCTGTATATTTCTCCTGAATCAGCATGAGAAACCTTTCCTCTTGGTCATCCCCATCTTTCAAAAAAGTCTGCTTAAGGGAATTTGGAGCTAGAGAACTTGCCAATACACAGCGCTACTGTTCAATAAATATACTCTGCTATTAGGTCTAATATACAAATATGATGATGATGATTTGATTTGAAAATGGAACCCTGTTCAGTACTATACTGGCACTCAACAGGGCTAATGATCATTTGTTTACAAAGGAGTCATGTTCAAGTCTGTTTATGATAAACCTATCATCTAGACAGATTGATTCTTTAGGTGTCTTTCTTTTGGCCACTATCTACAGCAAACATTTAAGAGCCATAATCATTTGTGCTCTGGGCTAGGGTCCCTGGTCAAGTCAGGAATGTTCTTCAGTACTGCTGCTGAATGATCTGCTCCGGATGTGATTTCTAAGTTGCTCTATAAGTTCAGGATTCTGTTGCTGTATCTGCTGAGCAAACTGCTGTCCCCTGTAGTAAAGAGGCAAAGTGGTATGAATTAGGAATTTCCAGTCACATAATACCCATGCAAAAAGAACTGCAGAGGATGTGGGTATTACTCAGAGGGAACCTTTTCTATAAAAACAACTTTTAGGGGCGCCTGGGTGGCGCAGTCGGTTAAGCGTCCGACTTCAGCCAGGTCACGATCTCGCGGTCCGGGAGTTCGAGCCCCGCGTCAGGCTCTGGGCTGATGGCTCAGAGCCTGGAGCCTGTTTCCCATTCTGTGTCTCCCTCTCTCTCTGCCCCTCCCCCATTCATGCTCTGTCTCTCTCTGTCCCAAAAATAAATAAATGTTGAAAAAAAAAAATTTTAAAAACAACTTTTAGAATCATGGCTTTAGTATCTTCAAGTTTACCAATGCCTCCATATAGCATTATTACAGCACAGTGTTCTTTATAAGGAACAAAACACCCATGCTAAAAAGTGACTCCCTGAAATGCATATAATCCACACAACAAATAAGCTAAGGGCTGAAAAGTACATGCTTTCATTGTATGTGCTCAAATACAATTTCTCTTGTCATCAGGTATGATAGGTGTCATACCCATTCTGGTCACCTGTATGTCACCTAAGAGAACTGATTTTTACAAAGGCAAAGAAATGTAATACAAATTCCTGAGTGTGTAACCCTCAATTACAAGTGTTACATATCACTATAATCATGCCACTTAAAGATCACTGTAGAAATGCAATATTCTAAGGGGTAACATGATCAAAAAAGGAAATGCTCTGAGGGTTGATGGGAGGTGGGAGGGAGGGGTGGGTGGGTGATGGGTATTGAGGAGGGCAGCTTTTGGGATGAGCACTGGGTGTTGTATGGAAACCAATTTGACAATAAATATCATATATTGAAAAAAAAAGGAAATGCTATTTGTGTCTTCATATAACATTTCCAGTGACAACATGACACACAGATTGAAAAATCAATTCAAAGAGTAGAGTATCTTGGGGCACCTGGGTGGCTCGGTCGCTTAAGCATCCAACTCTTGATTTCAGCTCAGGCCATGAATTCACGGTTTGGGAGATCGAGCCTCAATTGAGCTCTGTGCTGACAGAGCCTGCTTGAGATTGTCTCTCTCTCTGTCCCTCCCCCACTCACATGCTTGCTCTATCTCAAAATACATAAATAAACACTAAAAAAAAAGTAACTTGGGTGGAAGTGAAGGTAGTGTGCTCAAGTAACGAGAAGATGCAAAAAGTATCTTTAGTGATGACATATGCACTGAAAAGTTCAAATGAAATGGTTTCCTACATTGTTGGAACATTAATATATGTAATATGTGATTTTTAGATACACCTAAATTAATAAATTAATACATTCTTTGAGTAGATATTTGAATTTCATCTACATCCTTGAGTACCTATTCAAATCTGCCAGAAAACTTTTTCATGGATCCAGATCTTCTGGATTTCTGCCCTTCAGTCTGAAAATTCCGATTTATAAACTTCTCTAGATTGCATAACTACTGAGGCCACTGATATGAACAGTGAAAGAAAATTTTAAAAAGGAAACCCTGGTCCTCTCACTTTAGAGGCAAGCTGTAAAACATAAACTTTTTTACTATTTGTATTTAAGTAACACTTACGCTTGGATGAGGCTAGACAGGTCAGTTAGGCCTCCAACTCCAGCAGCAGGTCCCCCAATGGCATTTGTCATCATTCCTGACATTCTAGAATAGGCAAAAGATAGATCACTAGGATTGGTATATATTCTTAACAAGCAGACTAAGGAGAAATCAGCTAAATATACCCGCACTGTGTAGGAAGATAGGTCAAATGTGCATGGCTATCAGTTCTAATTGGCATTTATCTATCATTTATCACTTATCATTTTGGTGGTGATGTGCTCAAATTAGGAACCTGGCAGGTAAGTGGAAAGGGAAAATATACTTACAGCTGCTGAACTTGAGGATTCTGCATTAAACTTGCTGCCTGGAATTGAAAAGCGGCATTTCCCATTAAAGGCAGTTAATATTTATGGGTCTTTAACAAAGACTTGGAAAAAAAAGAATGAAAGCAAAACCAGTATATAGTAACATTTTCTAGAGTTTTAGCATACTCAACGAAGTGGGAATGTAAAAAATAGAGAAGTACTAGAAAAAATGGCAGTGAAAGTATATTGCAAGGATAAAGAGGTTACACACACTATAATACACTAACCAGTTTACTTCCTACTAGTGACCAGATCAATAAAGCCAACAGGAAAAATAAAAACTTTAAAAGTATGGCTAAAGAATCTTCTACCCTTGAGGGTCTCCTTCAAAAGAGGACTCTAGGAGATGTGACCTTGCTCCAAGGGGCTCAGCAGTATTAATCGTTCCTGTGCTTACAGTAGGAGGAGAATTCTATTCATTCATGCATTCACTTGTATAACTTTTAGTTTTGAAAGCATAACAATTTTTTTTGCCTCAAATTTGTTCCATCAACAATGTTCATGTAAAATTTAAATGGAGTCTAAATCTTTGTAGACAGTAATTTTTCATTCACTGACCCTAAACAAGGTGTTGGGAGAAGCCATCACGTGCTCTCATTACCATAAAGAGAACTGTTAGACTTGCCAACAATTCAATAACTCTCCTCAAGTTTCAGGATTGGTGCTTCTGGTACCAACGCATGAGTGCTATGGACATTACGCAGGAAAACCAGGATTTATAAGCTATAAATATAAAGCATTTCATTTCACAATCTTTTTTTTTTTTTTTTTTTTTTTTTTTTTTTTTTTTTTTTTTTTAGTTTATTTTGATAGAGAGCAAGAAAGAGCATGAGTGGGAGAAGGGCACAGAGAGACAGAGAGAGAGAATCCCAAGCAGGCTTTGTGCTATTAGCACAAAGGCTAATAGCACAAAGCCTGATGTGGGGTTCTAACTCAAAAACCGTGAGATCATGACCTGAGCTGAAATCAAGAGTCGAATGCTTAACTGAATGAGACACCCAGGTGCTCCTTTCACAGACCTTTTTATCTGATTCTGCAAAAGCAGTTCACCCTCTTCTAGTTTCTGGGGCGTAGAAGAGATACAGAGGAGATGCTAGAGCTTTTCTGGCCACTTTGAAGTATGCAGTCCTCTAGTCACTCTAAGGTAGAAAACAACCTCCGGAATTCACTTCTTGCTCACTGTAATAACCAAATACATAAAATTCATTTACAGGCAAAACGTTTCACCTCCCAAACGTGGGCCTACTAGAGGTGGGCCAGTTGCCTGCTCTTTTTCCACCACAGTGCCTCTATGCCTCTTCTCCCAGCTTGTTAGGCAAGAGTCCTGGCTCTGTGGGAAGGAAGAGAGTCACAGGTGCAGGCAGATTCTTTGATGACTGGTACTAGCTCAGTGGTTCTGCACCTGTGCTCAGTGGGTGTGCAAGTTGTTTAAAACTACTCTGGTTCTCTATAGCGGCACTTTTGAGGTCCTGCAGAAACTTCCCCCACCCCCACCAATCTGGGCATTTCTCGTCCATTCTCTGAAAAAGGTAATTAATTTTCTGGAAGGACAGTATGAAGAACACTGTAGTCCCAGGTTCTTCACAGCCCTCTAGTCCTGAGGCTCTGTATTGGAAACCTTTCTGGGCAGATTCACACAGGACTATCTTATGAGCACATGTGCTCACCTTGGTCCACAGGAAACACATCTCCCCTCCACTGGCTTCAGTACAGTTACTTCCTAAACCATACAGCCTTCTTTAGCTGGCATGTCAGACCCCAGTCTACTGTCTTCCAAACTGAGGGCCATTTAGAAAGCTCTCTAAGAAGGCCAGAAAAGCCTTTTCTCTGTGGGCTAGAGAGGAAGGCAGCCCTTTACTTCCCTCATACATGAAAAAGGGCTTTGTAACTTCAATAGCTTTCTCCAAAAAGCCTGACTCTCTATCAACCTGACTCTTTATACAAGTCACACAGTATGTTTTTTACCCGCACCTTTTGCAACACTTCACCTTGGTGCACAGCGTCTCGAGGGCTAAACCAAATCTGAAAGTATAAGAAATCCATTTTCACATCCTGCTACAAGAGCATAGCCCGACACCCGCAAATGAGTAACAATGCTTAAAAATGTCACAAAACCTACAAAGAGACATATAATTGTTGACATGTAAACCGGAAGACCAACTTAAATTTGATGGGCTCAATCCTGAGACTTGAAGAGAGTTCCTGAATTATTTGCAAGTCGTAATTAACTACTGTCTACAAAGATTTCAACTACCAATTGCTACAAACCTACTAAATGTTCAAAAGACTTCTTTAACTCACTGGGAATGAGCCCTCCATGCCTTTCAATTCAAATGAAGATTTTTGTGGATGCATGACAACATTTTTTGAAGGAACCAAAGGTGAATACAAGTAGTACCGCGCCCTTCCAAGGGCATGGCATGTGGTGGAATGAATGATTCTCAGCCAGAAATATTACAGATTACCCAGGTAATATCCCTGACCCATGAAATCAGAGTTTCCAGATTTTGGACCAGAACATATATGTTTTCAAAAAGATCCATGAGTGATTTTGTTGTTTTGTAGGATGAAGTACATACAAAGGAGAATTATACTAAAAGTTCAAATAAACTCTTATGAAAGGAAGGAAGCAGGCCATGTTGAGAGGAGAGCTTAGGGAACCACCACAGCCAAACTCCTTAGATCAGACCTCCATTATTAGGGATCTTCCTAAGGCCACTTTCATGTAAAAGAGTTGTTTTTAATCTTTTGTAGATTTGCAGACCCCTTCACCAATCAGATGAAAAAAAACAGTTCTCTCTAGAAAAATGCATATACGTACATGTATACAAATTTTTATATACAATTTCAGGGAATCCATGGGCTCCCTAAAGTCCATCCATGGCTTTCTCATAAAGAGATCCATACCTGAGCCAGAGCATTATATGACCATTCTACTGCTGTTACCCCCACCACCTCTACAAAAGCTCCCCTATTTGTTTCTTCAAGTTTGGGAACCATATAACTCTATGGAAAACAGCCAGCAGAGCAGAAAAGGAAATATACTCACCATACTAATGAAGGCTGGATTATTTATTAAGCTAGCCATGTCAAAGCTCAATCCAGTTCCTGTCTGTAAAACAATTATATCTGAGAATTATTCTAACCACTAAAATTTGATTCTAATAAATTGTGAATGAGAGAAAATATTTCCCTCATTTGGCATTAATAACTTACAGGACTAGATACCTCTCTTAACTTCTGTTCTGCTATTTTCAGATTTGACTTGTAAGAATCATTTTCAGGGTCAAGATCTAATGCCTTTTGATAACTTGTAACTGCTTCTTCGAATTTATTTATGGCAGTGAGGGCCAGTCTGAAAAGAATACAATATAAGATATGATTAAAGAACATCACAAAGAAACATCTGTCTCAGTATTCAATGTGAATCCAGACTACACATTTAATTTATTCACTGTACTATGATTCACAGAAGTATCACTAAAATTCCTTCTAATTCCAAGATTCATAAGTCTGGACTTTATGTATTCTGCTTGCTGACAAACGTGGCTGTCCTATGAATCATAAATTTAATGCTTAGAAATGACTCTTACCTACCCTTCCAATTTTAAGCCTAATATGTGAAGTAATTTGCCTTATGAATGATAAAGCTCCACAAAGAAGAGAGCTAACAATCCTGTGGCCATTTTAACTCCATGAAGCTAAAACCATTTCAAGAACTCTGAACTAGATTTGTGCTTCCTAATGTCCCACTTTCTTCCTTCTTCCTAGCAGGGACCCTGAGCCACAATAAATATCAATTTGCCATTAAAAAAGTAAAAATAGGGGCTCCTGGGTGGCTCAGTCAGTTAAACGTTCAACTTCGGCTCAGGTTGTGATCTCGCAGTTCCTGAGTTCGAGCCCACAGCGGGCTCTGTGCGGACAGCTCAGAGCCTGGATCCTGCTTCAGATTCTGTGTCTTCCTCTCTCTCTGCCCCTTCCCTACTCATGCTCTCTCAAAAATAAATAAACATTAAAATAAACTTTTTTTAATTAAAAAAAATAAATAGAAATAAAAATAAAAAATAAAAAATAAAATTGGGTTATGAGGTATCAGCAAGCTTCTCCTGAACAAGACATGTTTATTGTCAAGTAAATAAAATTAGCACCCTTTACAACTCAACACATATCCCAGGCACAGATCAAAGAGTTAGTTACTAAATTTTTATATTTTCGCTACCTAGTTTGTAGAATTTATTTATCAGACAATTCCTTCAGAACTACATAATAATGGTGTATATGGAGAGAAAGTACTGAGGTTTTTTATTTGTTTTATGTTCATTTTTAATAAATTACCCCAATTCTTTCTTGGACGACTTGCCTCCCAGACTTCTGATCTAGACAGAATACAGGGCCTAACCAAAGAAAAGTTCTCAGAACCTAATTTGTTTTCTACTTGTCAACCATGAAAGATACGTCATCAGAGTCCTCAACTAATCAACAGTCAATAAGTATTTATTGAAATCCTACTGCATACCAGAGACTACTTTATAGTTCACAATGAGAAAGGAAAAGTCCTTGAGTTTAAGAAAATTTCATCCTCCCTGGGAAAATAAGCAATAAACAAACAAAAAAATAGTAATATTAAGGAGAATGAATAGGGGAGCTCCTCAAAGACAGGCACACTAAAAAGACCTGAGTGATGAGAAGAAGGCAGCCACATGCAAATCAGAGGAGGGGCATCTAAAGAGAAGACACAGCAAACACAATGGCCCTGAGAAGGCTTAAGGAACGGGACAAAAGCTGATGAGGAGGAAGCACAGAAAATAAAGTGTGGAAAGAGATGACATCAGGGAATAATTAGGTGCCAGATCATATATGACTGTCGTTTGGAGTCTGGATTTTATTCTGGTTGCAACGGAATGACAGATCTGATCTATGTTTTAAAATGTTCACTCTGGCTTCTCTGCAGAAGACTGACATGGGTGGGGGTGGAAGGGTAGCAAGGGGACCAGTTATGAAGCTACTGCAATAGCCTATTTACGAGATGATAATTTGACTAGGGCTATAAACAAGACAGCATTCAAGATACATAGTACTGAATATGGAAACCAGAATTGACAGGACTTGCTAATAGAATTAGTTGTGTCAGGTGTAATAAGAATGAAGGAGACTCCTAGGCTTTTGACCTGAGCACTGGGTATAGGTGAATGATGACACCATTTACTGAGATGGGGAAGATTTAAGAAGGGAACAAAAGTTCTTTTGGGGACATGTTAAGCTTTAAATGCCTATTAATATCTAGGTGGAGATGAAAAGTAATTGAATATATGAGTATGGAATTCAGGCATTTAACTTAAGAGCTCCATCAAACAAAGCTGAGTCTCATTAATAACAGTAGTTAAATTCTATAAAGTCACCACAAACACTAAATTAGTAAATAATGAACAACTCCTCCCAGAGGAAATACAGGGTTGGGATCCTGTGAGCTTTTGGTTACAACATTTTCATCAATAGGTCAAAATATAATCTTATTTTACATGTGTTTCTGTTTAAAGAAACCTTATTTAATATATATTACTGATTCATTAGCAATGAACTAACAGCCAACAGCACTAACTCATTTCTGATCAAGAATTATCTAACACATGTATTTTCTTCATAAGGTGCATTCTAGCCTTCTTGTGCTTAGGAACACTAGACAACACTTCAGCCTACATTTGGGGGCCAGTGTAAACAGGAAATCAACCACAAAAGGCATAAAAAAAGCAAAAAAAAAATATATATACAGCACTAAAAAAACTGTGAAAAGGACACTTGTTTACAGCCTAAGAGCTAAAACAAAAAGGCAGAGCTTTATCAGACCTCTGCGGAGAACTGGCATGACAGACAAGTGACTCAAATTTTTCACCCTTCTGTGAATGACCACCAAAGCACAGTGAGTATTGATTTGGGGGTTGCAAACAAATTGCAGCATGTAGGCAAATTCATGAATACAGACTCCATGAATAAGGAGTACAGACTTAAAATGGAATTTAAAAGCATGGGACAGGACAGAATCAGAAGAGAGAACAGACAAACGACAGCAGCAGGAGAGAAAGCCCTGAAGTACGCCATTATCTAGAGGCAGTAGAGAAGGAAGAAACAGTAAGAGACGAGGAAAGAGCATCCAGTGAAGGAGAAGGAAAACTAGGAAGTATGATGACACAGAAGCAGAGAGAATGAAGTATTTCAAAAATGAGTTAATCATGCTGGGGCACCTGGCTGGTTCAGTCAGAAAAGCATGCGACTCTTGATCTTGGGCTCGTGAGTTCAAAGCCCCCATACTGGGTAGAGAGATTACTTAAATCAATAATCTTACAAAAAAAGTTACTTGTGCCAAATACTAAAACATGGAGCAGGGTAAGGATACAGACACGAACACTGGCCTTGGCAAAATATAGACAACTGGTGACCTTGAACAGGGCTATCAGCACAGTGATAGAGAAAAAGGCCTTATTGGAGTGAGTGGAGAGCAAATGAGACATGAGGGAGATGAGAGAGCAAACCCAGCCAGCCATGGGGACAATGCAAAAAAGAGGAGCTGGGAAATGGCCTCGCGGAGTAAAATCTTGGTTCCAGTGGGTGATTTTCTAGGACCTTTCCAGGCGCAGTCACTGCCGCTGTTAGAGACAACCTTGTGTTGCAGAAGATAAAGGAGAGGACTCCAAGAGTAAAGTCCTGAAGAAGGTACAAAAGGATGAGACCTAAGGCATGAATGAAGTCTTAGATAAGAACCCTCCCATTTGAAAAGGAATAAAAGGCAGTCTGTGAGGATATAAATGCAAGTAGATTGGTTGATTCAGAAGTAGGAAGAGTTATTTTTCTTCTACATGGATCTATTTTCTTAGTTAAGTGCAACGCAATACCATCAGCTGAGAGCTGCCATAGAGGGTATGGTAGAAATTTGAAGAGAGAAAAAGTGAGAAGCAGCCACTCAGCGTAGTAAGGTGAATTTAGAAGCAAGTATAGTAGCATTGTCTGCCAAGATATTGAGTGCTCATTTGAGATTTGTGGCCTTGAACAGGAAGTGAGTCTACTGAGTAAGGTTGTATTATTTTCTCCAACAACCAACCATTCATCATACAACTGATCATCTCTATCCCAAGTCATAGAAATTGCAGTCATTTCCTCTCTCAATGTTATATTTATCCTCCTAATAGAGAATGCAATATTTAAGCAGGAAATTGAAAACCAAGCCATTAAGAACAGCATATTTGATACTCTTTGGTACTACTTTGAACATTTTGCCAGAACTTACCCCATTCTCCCATAGGCCTTGCTGTACTTTGAATCGATTGCTATTGCCTTCTCACAATCCTTTATTGCATCTGTGTAGTGACCTAATTTACTCTGAGCAGCAGCCCTAAGAGAAAGAGAAGAGATATTTATTACAAGCAGCCTCAAGGCACTAATTGAGATTAGTACTAATAAAACTATATTTTCCTTGTCCCACTTTGCATATAACTTCCAGTAAATATCTAAATCAAACAAAGATAATTCTACAATCAAAAAGATAACTCAAAAACAAAATTCAGGGGCTCCTGGGTGGCTTAGTTGGTTAAGCGTCTGACTTCAGCTCAGGTCATGATCTTGTGGTTTGTGAGTTCAAGCCCCATACTGGGCTCTGGGCTAACAGCTCAGAGCCTGAAGCCGGCTAAGGATTCTGTGTCTCCATCTCTCTCTGTCTCTGTCTCTGTCTCTCTCTCAAAAATAAACATTAAAAAAATTAAAAAATAATTCAGAGAAAATATGGAGGCCACCTTTCACTGTGTGCTTTCCTACAGAAAAGACAAATAAGTGAGTCATACAACTGATCTACCTACTTATTGCCTTTCGAATTTGCCCAAACAGAAAACTGAAAACACCAGGAATTACTAGAGGAGAATGCAGAGTGAGAGACAGTGGCAAATGGCTACAGGGGTATGCTGTTAAATGATCACTTTACTAGTAGGGTTAAGATCATCATCTGGCAAGTCTAAGATGAAAATCTAACTTACCCGTGTGCCAGAATCTGGCTGCAAACAAAGGATGGCAATGCATTCCATCCACTGAGCACAGAATCTCGGAGCAATAATGACTAAATGAGCAGAATGACTGTTCTACATGCGAGCCCTTCAAACTAAAACATTCCATAACGTCTCCTGCCCTCCATCCCACTACTGCCCCATTCATTCTTCTATTTATTCCAGAATAAATAGTTCTTACTTATTCATTCAACTCATATATCTATCAAGGTCTAGCTAATGCACAGACACTTTTCGAGGCCTAATGGATAGAGCACTAATCAAAATAACAATTCTGGGGGCGCCTGGGTGGCTCAGTTGGTTAAGAACCGACTCTTGGTTTCAGCTTAGATCGTGATCTCACAGTTCATGAGATAGAGCCCCACATCAATCAGGCTCTGTGCTGAGAGTGGAGCCTGCTTGGGATTCTTTCATTCTCTCTTTCTCTCTCTCTCTCTCTCAAATAAAAAAATAAATAAAAATAGGGGTGCCTGGGTGGCTCCGTCGGTTGAGTGTCCGACTTTGGCTCAGGTCATGATCTCACAGTTCCTGGGTTCAAGGCCGATATCGGGCTCTGTGCTGACAGCTCAGAGCCTGGAACCTGCTTCAGATTCTGTGTCTCCCTCTCTCTCTGTCCCTCCCCAGCTCACACTCTGTCTCTCTCTCAAAAACAAATGAACATTAAAAAAAATTTTAAGTAAACAAACAAATAAATAACTAAAAATAAGATTCCTGGCCTCAACAGTGCTTAGGTTCCTGTGGTGTGAGTGACTGGTGGCTGGCAGGCTATAAAGGAAATGTGGTGGTGAGTCCAATTTTCTGTCAATTTTTCTTCATATAGCATGACTGAGACCCTTTCTTTTCAAATTAGGTTACAAACTTAAAAAAAAAAAAAACATATAGCCTCCTTTCTTTTAGTGAAAAAAAAATTTAAGTGTGAAAGTATAGAATTCAACAAACCTGATTTGGCAGTTCATATGAAAAAGAGGTATGGGTTTAGCGACTCAACATTCAACACACACTAACAAGCATGACAAAGATGGCCACTAAAAATGACCATTAAGGGGCACCTGGGTGGCTCAGTCAGTTGAGCATCCAACTTAAGCTCAGGTCACAATCTCATGGTTTGTGAGTTCAAGCCCCACATCAGGCTCGCTCCTGTCAGCATGAAGTCTGCTTTGAATCCTCTGGCTCCTTCTCCCTGCCCCTCCCCCGCTTGCATTCTCTCAAAAATAAATATTTTTTTAAATGACCATTAAAATAAGAGATATAGAATATATCACTTCCAAACAATTAGAAAAAATGAAGTAAAAATAAATCATTACAATAAAAGGCAAAAAAGAAAAAAAAGAAGGGGAGAGAGAAGCCAGAACATATCATAGCATAAGAACAACTCAAACTTGGGGCGCCTGGGTGGCTCAATCGGTTAAGCGGCGGACTTCGGCTCAGGTTATGATCTCGCGGTCCATGAGTTCAAGCCCCGCGTCGGGCTCTGTGCTGACAGCTCAGAGCCTGGAGCCTGTTTCAGATTCTGTGTCGCCCTCTCTCTGACCCTCCCCTGTTCATGCTCTGTCTCTCCCTGTCTCAAAAATAAATAAAACATTAAAAAAATTAAAAAAAAAAACAACTCAATCAAACTTAAAAGCAATTACAAAGTAAACTAGATAAAAATCAGTTTCTCAAACTGTATACATATCAACTAAAACATAATCACATACATATTAAAGGGACAGAAAAAGGCAACTGGGCCAACTGAAAACCAAGCAAAAAAAAGCTGATGTAGAAACCCTAATATCAGAAATGAAACAAAAAGTATTATTAAGGATAAAGAGAGTCATTATTACTGATGAATCCTGTTAGTTTAATTTTATGGAAAACATTAATATGGCTCAGAAATCAAACTTGTAAGAAAAGTTTCACTCTCACAGAGGATGGGTGGCATGGGGTAGTTAGAATAAAAATGGGAATGAGACTTCAAAAAGGGTGAAAAAGAAAACCTTCAAATGGAGTAAAACAGAAACAAATGATGCTGTGTATCAACAAGAGTTCAAGTGAATTTCAAGTACAGTATTCTGAGTATATATTTTTTTTTTAATTTTTATTTTTTAACATTTTATTTATTTTTGAGACAGGGAGAGACAGAGCATGAACAGGGGAGGGTCAGAGAGAGGGCGACACAGAATCTGAAACAGGCTCCAGGCTCTGAGCTGTCAGCACAGAGCCCGACGCGGGTCTCGAACTCACGGACCGTGAGATCATGACCTGAGCCGAGTCGGCCGCTCAACCGACTGAGCCACCCAGGCGCCCCTCTGAGTATATATTTTTAATGAGGTGGATTCTAAGGAGAAAAAAATTTGCAAAGAAACTGAAGTTTACTTAGTAGGCTTACTAGTGGTAGAATATTGATATCAGACTATCAACTGAAGAATATTGAAGGGTAGAGCTAATGAGTAAATATACTGGTGGTATTAGAAAGCAGCGTTTTTCATTCTGGAAGAACAGAAATCCATATAAAAGGGGAAGGGTAAGAGAGATTTCTGTGAAGATATCTGTATAAACCAATGCCTTTTTAAAAATTCTAATTCCTAGATCTGTTTACTGAAGAAGCACTAACACTTCTTCAGTAGCAATGATCATATCTTGCAACCAGATCCTGGTTTCTGAATTCTATTCTCCACTAATAAGAACAGGAGCTACCTGTAGAAATAGCTGGGCTCAGGTCCAGGGCAGAGAAAACACAAGGCAATGTGGAATACCTTGATGTCTCAGAAAGTAAGAAAGTATCCAAAAACAAAGTTCTATAGAAGGACACATAGCAAGTTTAAAGGGGCTCCCACCAGCTAAATATGGAATAATAGAAGTGCCAAAAATAATGATTGTGGTCATTTATTATAACATATTAAATAGGGTTTTAAAAATTCATGAGTCCATAATGATACTCAAAAAAGTTGGGGGAGGGAGAAGGAGGAGGAAAGAAAAAATGAGGGAATGGAAAGAAGCTCTTCTCTACAGAAATACGTGAGGAAATATATGTAAATGAAATGATAAAATCAGAAAATCATCATTCTGTAGCAATCAGCATTTTACTAAGTCAAGGAAATATCATGAATGGATGGTAAAACATTGAGTAAAAGATTATTGGGGAATGGATATTCACATGATCTGACCCTACAGATAATTTTTAATTAGAAAAGGAATAATAAGAGAGATATGGTGGTTACCACCCTAAGATATCAAACTTACAATCACCATTAATGGATAGCTTGAAATTATGTGCCTCCTACCATAGTGCAATAAATGGTACACTTTTATTTATGTTATTATTTTTGTAGGCTTCACACCAAACTTTAACCTCAAATTAATCATGAGGAAGCAGTCACACAAATCAAGAATATGGCACATTCTATAAAATCACTCGCCTGAACTCTTTAAATATGTCTGTCATTAAAAATAAATAAATAAATACAGTAATATTTTCTAGATTAAAGCAGATGAAAGTAACATAGCAAAATGCAATACACAAACAGTGATTGGATTCTGGATGAAAAGACATAGCTACAGAAGGTATTTTGGGGACAAATGGAGAAATTTCAATATTAATGCCATTTTCTTGCATTAAATATGTCTGTCATTAAAAATAAATAAATAAATAAATAAATAAATAAATAAATAAATAAATACAGTAATATTTTCTAGATTAAAGCAGATGAAAGTAACATAGCAAAATGCAATACACAAACAGTGATTGGATGACTGAAAAGACATAGCTACAGAAGGTATTTTGGGGACAAATGGAGAAATTTCAATATTAATGCCATTTTCTTAATGATAGTTATGAAGAGTATATCCTTATTCTTAAGAGATATAATTGAAGTATTGGGGACCACCAAGAAAATTTTATACACAGGTACACACACACACACACACACACACACACACACACACACACACTCATAAAAAGACAGAAAGAGAGGGGCGCCTGGGTGGCGCAGTCGGTTAAGCGTCCGACTTCAGCCAGGTCTGAGTCTCACGGTCGTGGTTGAGCCCAGCGTCAGGCTCTGGGCTGATGGCTCGAGCCTGAGCCTGTTTCCCATTCTGTGTCTCCCTCTCTCTGCCCCTCCCCGTTCATGCTCATCTCTGTCTGTCCCATAAATAAATAAAAACATTGAAAAAAAAATTAAAAAAAAAAAAAAAGACAGAAAGAGAGACAAAAAAACATGGCAAATGTTAGCTATTTCTGATTCTAAGGTAAGTATATATGGATGTTCATGTATTACTCTTTCAATAAGTTGAAATAGGTTTTAAATAGCTTTAAATTTATTTTCCTAAATACACATACATTCCATAATAAACTTATGAA